AAGAAACAAGTAACAATCATAAGCCTCTTATTCAGCAACGTTAAAGTAATAATTCTGACAAGAACGAAACAGATAGCATTTGAAAAAAAAAAAAAAAAACATTTGACGTTCAATGCCTACAGATCTTTGTAAAAGACGTCATACTGCTAAGTGAAGCCATATTTACCTCCAAATAACTCATTTTTGGCTGACTACCAAAGTCGTAATTTCCTTCGCATCCTCTCCTCGCGAACATTTCCTATTGCTTTCTAAGCACTCTCCACTATTTGCGAGTAAGACAAGGTTTTATTTTTACTGTATACTTTAACGTTGATAGAAATAGTTATTCGAACAACTCGTTATTATTTTTCTTCTTATTTGTACACTAATATCATCTATTTTGTGTCTTTGTTGATCTTTGTGAAGAACGAACTTACTTATTCATAGAAAACTTCGGCAATAGTAAGGATTTGTTGGTTGGATTATTCTAAATTAGGCATACAGCAAAATTAAATTTGTGAAAAGACGCTAAATTTGAACAATTTTTGAAAAGGTTTTTGGTCTGCATTTTGGTGTTCTGCGATAGCCGGTGATGAATAGAAATTGAAATTGTTTTAAAATTTGACAGAAATTTACGCCTATTATGTGTTTTTCAAATTTTGATTTTTTTATTTTTTTTTTTCTTGAAAGTTAGTTCTGTTTCAGACGTTATGGAGAAGTCGCAGGTCACTCACCGGTTAAGCTTAAGTGACCGTCTACAATATATGAAGCACAGCCTTAATAAGCAGTTAGTAGAAATTATGGTGAAGGTTAGTCAGGGATGACTGCCCAGGTAAAATTTTACTCAGTAAGTAACTGAGTTACATATTAAGCAGTTTCCAGTTTTAGAAGCAAACTTGCTTATGCTTAGCAGTTGACTGTACGACATCAAAACTGGTATTAAAACTTGCTGAAGAAGCTGCTCCATACGTTTGTGCAATAAAAATACACGTGGATATACTGAAGGATTTTAATACTGGATTTGTTTCTGCTTTAACAGATTTGGCTAAAGAACATGATTTTGTCATATTTGAAGACAGGTTTGCGTTCTGGTTGATTACTCTTACTATTTCTTTTAGTCTTTGGAGATTATGAAATTAATTTTGAAATTTTGGCTTAGAAAGTTCGCTGACACAGGAAGTACTGTTGAGCTGCAGGCCACTAGCGGACTTTACAAAATTAACTGTTGGGCACATCTTGTCACACTTCATTCAGTTCCTGGACAGCCGATATTAGACGCATTTCGTCGGGTGAGGTTCATAAAACATTTGTTTCAAAAAAAAGGGGATTTCCAGCAGAATTAGTTTTTTTCTTCTTTTTGGCTCATGTAATTATAGTAGTTACAGATAATTCAGAAACCAGATTCAGTTCTTAAAGGGTGCTTACTGGTTTCAGAGCTAAGCACAAAAGGAGCGTTGACAGATTTACGCGATTACCAAGCGAGTAGGTTTACTGCTGTCTATATAACCTTTAAAAATGTAAAATTGGTTCCATAAGCCGGTGCTTGCTAGTTTCTTCAGGTATACTAAGCTTTATTCAAAATTTTTCAAACAGAGACTGGTAGTTTATTAAAAAGCATTAAAACCTGTTGAAATAGCCTCCCCTACAAGCACCCAAATTTCGTTCTTTACGTATATGTTAAATCATGCATTATTTGAGGAGTTTGTTTATGCTGCAAATTAGCTTTAGTGATTTTTCTGCCTTATTTTTATGCTTAACGAAAACTTTATATTTGTTATTTGTAAGTGAGTTGTTCTTGAACTGTCACATAGGTAATTTTAATCTTATTTGGCTGACTCGAAAACCCAAGGTAATGTTATTTCTTCAAGCTTCGTTTTTTTTATTAAACCATGCCCCAAGGGCTTCTTCGAAATCTTCAGTTTACAGGCTCTCTGAAATTAGCTGAGGAAAACAGAGATGTTGTTAGCGGATTTATTTGCCAAACCCGATTTTCCAGTGATCCTTCCTTTTTGTACTGGACCCCTGGTAACAAGATACTCTATTTCTAAAATAATATAATTTTTTATACAAGTTACGGTCTAGTTTCCTTAGTCTTGTCGTTACCTTTCAAGCAGTTTTAAGTTTTTTAAAAGCGTTTTTAGGAGTGAATCTGAGTGCAACAACAGATGGCATAGGTCAGCAGTGGCGAACTATTAACAAGGCAATAGTGCAGGACGGTAATGACATTATCATTGTTGGGCGTGCTTTAACAAAGTCAAACGACTTCCGCAACGATGTTATCAAATATAAGGAAGCATCTTGGAATGCGCTGAGCCTTGCAGAAGAAGCAAATGCATTTTGTGGAAGAGACTCTTAATGTTTATTTTATCCAAAACCCGTGAAAATAAGAACCTTTGAGCTGTGTTTTGCCGTGAAAATGCTTAGAAAAATGAATGCATTTTTGAATCTATCTTAAAACAAGCGCCGATTGAGGACTCGGAAAGGGTGCTTTTATGCGGAAGAGTAAGTAACGCGCTTCACCACTTTCCCATCATCGTTAAATTTCCTGCAGGAATCCAGATTTAGTGTCACTCGAGCCCACAATTTTTTTACTTTTTTTTTTCACGGACTTATTGATCGTTTTTATATTGGTTTTTTTTTTTTTT